AAACAGACAGACAGACGGGCACAAACGCACTGCACGCATACGGCAAGACAGGCAGGCAGGCAAACAGCAAATCGCCACATGCATCGCCAGTAGGTCAACATGCACGCACCGAACAGACATACACATACACTGTAGCGAGACAGGCATAGCGAGACAATTGCGCCCCTCTGTATGACACACCCTCACAGGCAGGCAGGCAGACACCGCACTGTCACGGCATAGAGGCACACATCTTCAAGGCACTCGCTTGGTACGTACGGGCGACACGACACACGCATGCAGGAAAAAAACACAGACAGACAGACAGACAGACAGACACACAGACAGACACACAGACACACGCACAGACACACACACAGACACACCCACACACAGACACACAGGCCGTGTGGTCGTTCTTCGCTCACTAATGCGCGCAAGCACTGCCCCGCCCCCTTACGTATGAAACGCTGCATGCCCCAGAACGCCACCCCACCAGCGCCGACTGCTAGAAAACATCGATGAAACAGCACCGATAGACCTATGCTGAACGCCAAGAAGAAGTGCACCATGAACGTTGTGGAGAACTGTCTGGTACAAGACGATTCAGACAGACCGGAAAAAACAGCATATCCCCTCAAGATGAGGAGCCAGAAATGAGGGCTGCCAGCGACGAAGCATGCGCAAAAAAGCCATGGAAGTAGACATCTTTGCTCCGAACATGCAGACACACACGCATGCACCGACAGGCAACGCAACACATGCAAGAGACCCACCCAAGGATTGCAGCACGCGAACGCTCACAACAGCGTTTGGGAGACCCCCTCACTGAGTCGATCACACAGACACAAGCTCACTCCTGAACCGACAGATCGACTGACTCACTCCTCTCTGTGGTGCTGCAAAAATCGGTGAGTGTAACACGTAGCTCCTCAAAAATCGATGATGTAACCTCGCGATGAGGAGGGAGGTGGCATCAATTGTGGCCAACAATTCAGCCACTCGCTGGATGCCCTCGGGCTAGAAAAACATCTCTGTCTGCCCCATCCACGCCGCATCAGCACCCCTATGCATGGGTACTCACTCAAAGAGCGAAGAGGTAGCCCCAGGGTATGAAGGGAGTCATGATGACAAGCCCCAGCACGTTGAGTAAAGTAAAGGGGACGGGAAATCCTCCCATGCCTCCCTTGCGACCGCGTACCAGCCACGGCAAAGCAAAGAACACGAGAAACAGCACCTTGACCAGCACCTGACACACACACACGTGCAACATGCCCTCACTCACAGTGTCTACCTGACTCACTTCACTGGTGCAGTCGTGCACTCACCGAGATGAGCAGGATGGAGGCGAATGGCAGCGGGCTATAGATGCCACACGCAGACAGGATGGCGATGCTCGTGATGAAGATGCCGAGGATACTCAGCGCAAGGTTGGGAACCATACTCCCCGAGAACAGCTGGCTGTAGGCAGCAGACACACACATGCCTGTTAGTAAGCATTCCCACGCAGGGGGCTAGTGTGTCCGCGCACTTACTTTGCAGCAAACTTCGGAGCCCACAGGCAAGTCAGACCAATGCTCCCTCCGGCTGCGCACACGCAGGGAGACAGATACATATACAGACGTCTCAAAGGCCGTCTTCTGTTGTCACACAGGAGCCCCCTCACTTACCGACCACATTGATGGCAAACACCACCCGCAGGGCCAGATGCTTCACTGCCGTCGTTGAATGACGCAATCGCCGCTGCTGTGTGAGCGGTCGATCTGTGCTCGTCACCTTTACGCGGCCACCTACCCTTTACGCGACAGCCTAGATAAGTTTCTCCCCTGGCCGGTCGGTCGGTCGGTTATGGGTTTGACGAGACGCCTGTCCCTAAGCCCGGCGCCTACCTTTCGGCGCTACCGGACATCTTCTCTGTCCACAGCACACACCAAACAAAGAGCATGCACACGCACGAAGCATGCACAAGGCCTCTCTACCCACCCATCCCTATGGTCCAATACCAAAGGAAAGGCACTGGCACCGGCCGACACACAGATGACAACAGAGGGCACTGACTGCCTTGTAGAACGTTGACGAACATGTCTCTATGCGCACCCCTGCGCATGTGGACTTGGAGTGCGTGTATATGATGAATGACTTGGAGTGCGTGTATATGATGAATGTCTCTGTGCGCACACCTGCGGTGGACTTGAAGTGTGTGGATATCATGAATGTCTCCGTGCACACCCCTGCGCATGTGGACTTGGAGTGCGTGCATATTATGAATGTCTGTGTGCGCTATTATGAATGTCTGTGTGCGCACACCTGCGGGTGGACTTGGAGTGTGTGTATATCATGAATGTCTGTGTGCGCACCCCTACGCATGCACGTGTGGACTTGGAGTGCGTCTATATCATGAATGTGTCTGTGCGCACCCCTGCGCATGTGGACTTGGAGTGCGTCCATATCATAAATGTCTCTGTGCGCACACCTGCGGGTGGACTTGGAGTGTGTGTATATCATGAATGTCTGTCTGCGCACCTCTGCGCATGCACGTGTGGACTTGGAGTGCGTGTATATGATGAATGTCTCTGTGCGCACACCTGCGCATGCACGTTTGGAGGGTGTGTATATGGTGGATGTCTCTATGCGCACACCTGTCCATGCACGTTTGGAGTGTGTGTATATGATGAATGTCTCTGTGCGCACACCTGTGCATGCACGT